TAATAACCTGTGATACCTTTATCTTTATATCATATATTTACCGTCTGTATCTTCATACTCTGTATATTTATTTAAAAATGACATGCACGTTTGACTTCAAAATTATAGCACTTACTTGAATACTTTTTATATCATTATATTCGATAAATAGCGTTTAATTTACTATTTTTGTAGTATTATTATTATAGTAATTTATATTATATTATTTATTTGTATTATTTATATTATATTAGTTGTAGTATTATTATTATAGTAATTTATATTATATTATTTATTTGTATTATTTATATTATATTAGTTGTAGTATTATTATTATAGTAATTTATATTATATTATTTATTTGTATTATTTATATTATATTAGTTGTAGTATTATTATTATAGTAATTTATATTATATTATTTATTTGTATTATTTATATTATATTGGTTGTAGTATTATTATTATAGTAATTTATATTATAATTTTATAGTAGCTTTGCAATCTAGCTTTGTAAAAACATTGCGAAAAAAATTATAATGTAATTTTTACTACAATGTTTTCTCCGTGTGTAACTAAATTTATATAATTTCATTTGATTTCTGTTTGTAATTTCAAAATCACTAATAATGTGAACAACAAAAATAATCTTTTAGGAATAAACATATACTCCATCGTGTTTGTAAAAAATTCTGCAGAAAATTGAATAAGTATATTAAATGCCAAACTAAAAACAACGAAAATAATGAATGGAAAATAAATGTAATTAAAAGCAAAAATGTTTCAGGATATAAAAATCCCGAGGAGGAGAATGAACACAAGTTCGAAGTGGACGACGTTGAAAATGAACCGGGGAAGTATTTCAAGGAACCGACGACGGAAAGCGACTTTAAGCCGTCGACATATTTCCCCTTTAAGGAATACGACGAGACATTTGGAAAGTATACAAAGCAAACTGATGACGAGGATTACGCCGATAAACCATATTCCGGCTACAAGAATTCCTCATCGGACGATGACGCGGAGGAAGAAGACCCGTCGTCGGAATATCACGCTGAATACGCTGAATCTCCAAAATCGCATGGATCGTACGAAGAGGAAGATGAAAAGGAAGAAGAGTCTCGTAAATATGAGAAACGTGGAGAGACCGATGAGAATTCTCATGAGATAAAACCTAAACGAACTAGATATTATGAAAAAGACTTCGAGCGGGAATTTGAAGAATCGTACAGAAAGGAGATACCGAAACACAGTACGTAAAACCGATAACAAATAACGTAACTGCTATGCTTATTTTATAATCGGTTTCTAGTAATATTTAATGTTTTCACTTATAGGATACGTGCATGTGAAAGAAGTACCGGAAATAGACAGTTACAACAATCCGACATCTTCTAGACGGCAGCCGGAAAATAATGGCCAAGCTCGTGTAAATCACGAACGATTAGAAGAGCCCAGGACTCAAGAATCACGTATACCTCATAAAATACTAAAGACCGGTTACAGAGACAACGCCGCTCACGGCACAGACACTTCAGCTAAAAAAGCGACTAAAGTAGTCTACGAAGAATCCTACGGATACAAAAACCCCAAAACCGGAAAGTATCTTAAGCGTGCGAAAACCGAGTCTGCGGTCGAGAAATATTCGCCCGCTAAGAAATCGACCGCACACAAGGAAGACAGTTACCTTCGTGCTGCCAAGTATTACAAATTTAAAAGTCCCAAGACGCGCGACGGGCTCGCCTCGAGGAATAAATATCCGCATTCGTATTCTTCCGCGAGCAACTGGAAATTGAGTAAAATCTCAACCGCGGTCTCTGAGCCGAATAAGAGACAATTGGCAAATCCTGGCGACAGGGCTCCTTTATATAGATCGAGTGCAGTGAACGGACAAATGCGTCCTCTCACGAACGCAGAAATCCTTCGTGATCTGACGGGAATTTAAGCGACGAAATAACTAAACGTTGGATTATAAAATAACGTATACCCTTAGGTCACACACAAATTATTTAGCCACATTATTTTTAGAAATATCATATGAAAAAATTTACATTTAATATTCCATAAATATTCATTTGTTGACGTATACGTGTAGGTGAATGTTACATTTTACTTTTTACAATGTTACTAACTTTATTTATGATATTTTAAGAAAATAACAAAATATGTATGTTTTTTAATAAAGGAAAATATACATGTATGTTGTATAAGAATTTATTATACTTCTCTTTCTGTTATATGTTGATTATATTATTTTCATCAACTTATTCAAAGTTATGTAATATGCTATAATATTATGGACATAGATTTACTTTTTACAGCGCGATTAGAATAACTTTTTAATAAATATTAGTAAGTTTTGGTTTAGAAATATATCTATATTAATATATCTATTGTTTCGCAAGGAAACGCAAATTTCGTCCTTATTCCTTATTTTATTCCATATAATTATATTAATTTTATTTTTCAAGCATATATTATTATTTTATGATTAACTATTTCTCAATACCAAAACCTTTTAAGATTGATTTTTCAATAGCAATTTAAGTGTATATTTATGTTTAAATTTTATTTTAATGTATTTAAACAGAGTTTAAACTTAAATCTAAATTTAAGTCTAGAACCCTAAACATAGGTAAACTTTATCTAGATTAATGTTTCAAATGTTATTGTTCTTAAAAACATTATGTTTTTTTCTTTTAGTATAACTTTCTTTTAGAGATGTGCGAACTATTCGAATCAAATCAAGTGAAATTCGATTCGATTCAATTTCGTGTTCCTATGTTTCGAATCCGAATAATTCGAGAATTTCGAATCGAAATGTTTCCAATACGAATTGCACATGTTAGCATTAACAAAGTACTATTAAAAATATCCAGCCTTACAGGAATTAGTATGACTTGAAAAGTTTACATTTTCATATATTAATATTTTCTACAAAAATATTAAAAGAAAATAATGGCTTTTAGATAAACTCTTACCGACAACTGTCGGATCGATATGTGTCGTTGCGCAGCTTTCAAAGATGGAACTGTATTCTATATACATTTACCAACTATATATTATATATCTCTTACCTTAAAATGAATTGATGTCACATGACCAATGTTATCTCTCTCATACTAAAGTCATTATTTTCATGTTGAGTTGAATAATTATATTAATTAAAAATTCTTTCAACGATTCGATTCGATTCGATTTGGGTGAAATTTCATCGATTTGATTCGATCCGAATTCGAAATTAAAACCTGAAGTTCGATTTTATTCGATTCGACATACAATATCTTTGATTCGCACATCTCTACTTTCTTTTAACTTCATTAAATTGTAAAGACATTAATAAATTCATATTTATTAATTTCTACACTGATTAAAAAAGAAAGAATTGAATTTCGATCATTTTTCCGGAAATCATAAACAAATAAAAATGCGCTAGTTAAAATTTATTCATATTTAGGGTTTGCGTAACTTTTTGATGAGTTATGGTATAAATATAATCTTAAAGTAAATAATTATAATCTCTAGTTAAGGTACTATTGAAAACCCTTGGGATTAAACAGGAAGCGATGCAGCGTTATAAACAGTACTTACTAAAAAGATTAAAAGTCCTCAGCTACTACTTACATATAAAACACATGTGAATTAAATTTCCCTGACATTTACGTTAAACATAATACGTCTAAGATACACACGATGCCGGAAGTATTTGCCATATACTCACTACTGAATAACTACTTCCTGAGTTCGGAGACGAGATATGATCTTTGTCCATTGGTTTCCAGGACGTAAATGGTCTCGTGTGCAGTGATTGTATTGTATACGCCCTCCAGAAATATCGTCATTAGACAATGAAGGCCTATAATTCAGTCTTCGATACGTGGATTCTTACGAACACCTATAATAGTCTTAATTAATTCCATGATTATCCCGGAGACGATAGAGCATTCTTCCTCGTATCGCAAGTTGTATATATACCAGACATCCACTGCAAAAGATTCAGTATCATCAGCAACATCCCTTGCAAGATGAAGATCTTCGTAACGGTAATGGAAAGTTCAAAAATTTAGTTTTACGTCAAATCTGCAGTATATAAATCGTATTTTATTTATTATAACTCTTATTTTTTTATTTATGTTTTATATCAAAGAAATTAAAATATTTTTAAATTTCTGAAATTATTCATAATACTTGTAACGGAGATTACAACATTTTTAACGTAAATTTTGTGTAAGAAGAATTTGGTAATCTCAGAATTTATATATAAAGCTGCCTTTTGAGCATTTTTCTGAACCTTGTACTATTTTTCTTAAAGAAACGTAACGAGAGATTTATTTATAAATGTGTAGAAAATATCATTCTACTATTAAGAAAAATGACTATTCAGTTTATTTTTTTAAATGATCCTGACCGGAATAAAAATTAGAAAAAAATTTAGAGGGCTGTAAAAAGTTGTAAATCAATAGAAATATGAATTTTTATTATGTATGTCTATTTATAATATCATGATATAAAAAATTAAATTTTGGTGAGTATTAACATCACTGTATCCATTTCAATTCTATTCTGCAAAAGAATTATGTTTCAACGGTAATCATCCTGGTCTCAACAGGGATGATTTAAAATCAATATTAATATATTTTTTTATTTATTAGGATTATAATTATCGCTTTACAGAAGCTTTTCGCAAATTTCGAGGAAATTATTTATTTATTTATTTCATAAGTTCAAATTTATCAGTGTACAGATCAGATTTGATGTTTTATAACCTTCATTTTGCGAAATATTGTTTCTTCAAAAATCTACTTTGTGAACCGATAATTATAACTCTAATAAATAAAAAGAATATATTGATGCTGATTTCAAATCTTCTTCATGAAAATGCTAAATTTGTTAGGATTTAGAATATATATTTTAAACGAATTTAAACGAATATTTTAACTTATTGAAACGTAACTTGCTGATATATGAACTTATAAAATATCTGAAATAAGTAATATTTTTACTTGAGTGCAATATGTATGTAGTGTATGTATATGTATGTTCTGTGTGTAGATTGTACTTCTCTCTGCCTTCGCATCAGTGGTAGAGTTGAAGAAATCGGAATCGAGGAAGCAAAAGCGCGGAGTGGCATTTTTTGGATCACCTAGTTACGATTTCTTTAGCATTGTGCCAGCTTTCAGTCCTTCCTCGTGGGGTCCTACAAGTCTCGCGACTTCCGCCTGGAACCCACCGAGCACTCCTGATATAGCACTCACCCAAGTCCAAGTTCAAGCTACACACAATGTAGCGCTTCAAGTGCGTATATTTATTATCTATTAATGTATTATCTATTAATAATCTACGTTCTACGTGTGACGGGAGATTTGGAAAAATATATTCACTTAACTTGCACAACTTGAAGGCTCTGAAGGACCCGGCACCAGGTACACCTACTATCGCGTATCCACCCGAGGTCCTGCGAGCGATTCAACAAGCGAAAGAGGCGAATAACAATGTTGCCATAGCTCAGCACAAAGTTACGGAAGCGAAACAAGCCACGCTGATTCAACAGAAAATTGCGTTAGCGAAAGAGGCGGCTGCGAAGGAAGCTGCCGCGAGGTACGCGGCATAATTAATTTATTTACTTTTACGTCATTAAGCTTCATATTCTGTATTTCTACAAACTGTGACATTTTGACTACGACTATTTTACGTAATGTTATCATGTGCCTGCGATAATTTTCCTGCGCAGATCTCAAGAAATTTCGCAACACGCCGAATCCGAAGCTAGAGATAGCGCTCGCCAACTTGTGGCGTTGCAACAGAGATTAGCAACCTTGAAAGACGCTGTAGCAGCTTCACAACGAGTGGCGGCTGCTAGGGAAGCCGCTGCGGCCGCGGCGATTCAAAGAAATGCGGCTGAAACCGCCGCCGAGCTGCAAAAACAGGACGTTGATAAGCAGATTAACCAGAGTGAACAGGAAGCCAAGGTAAGCAACTTAAAAATAATTTTGTCAAATATTATCGTGCACAAAGTTTCATTACGCAATTTTTTTACTGAGTACTTAGACAAATGTAGTTTATACGTGATTTGAACATGCAAAGTGTTTGCATTGTTTATAAGACAGATAAATATAATTGTTAAAAGGACAAAATATTTTTGATCGCCGCATAATTTGTCATAAATTATCGTCAAGTTATTTTTAATGTCATCATGCTTATTGTACGAATAGGAAAAGGATATACTAGCCGCTAAGGAGAATGCAGTGGCAGCCGCGGTTCAGCAAGCGAGTTTACAGAAACCTGCTCATCATCCTTGGGGTTAAAAAGTATATCACTACAAGTATATATTCATGGTGACGGAACACGAACGGGCATCTTATAGTCTTATGATCTTTACATGATACTTTTGTAATTATTATATGTAAGAATTGTTTCAACAATAAATGTTAAATACAGTTTATATTCTATGTTTTTCCAACAAATAATCCGTTTACTTTTTAAATCACTGAGTACATATGAATAAGGTATATTCTATAAATATTATAAATGTGTTTTAAATATAAATTATTAATTGAATAATGTATATTAATTTTAATCTGGCATAGTGGAGCTATTTTCGATTTCACCCGATTTTCAATTTTAAATTATTTCCACTGAGAAAAAATCTCACCTTTGGAACTATCACTATTATGAAATAGCATCTCAATTATTGTGAAATAGTATATTTTCACGGTTATATGGAAGCTGAATACGAAAGATTAAAGTATAGCAATATTGTCAGGACATAATTAGAAAATAGTTAACTTAACTTATTATCTAGAGTTACTACAACTATATAAATTATTATAGTTATAGACAAAAATTAGAGCTATAAATATAAGATGTTATTAATATTGATCATGCTTTGCTACAATCTTTTTAATCGTGCTACTGTTTTATAGATTTAATTAAATTTGATTTGAAAAAAACACTTGTCACAGGCCGAGTTCAATCTCGGAACTTTTAGATTTTGAACCAGCTGCAGCTTACACTGGGCCACTTCTATTTTAGAAGCTTCTATATATAACTGCGCAGTGTATTATATAATTTTCTGCTCATATAATTTAAAACTACCAAAAATAAATAATTCGTATAAGAAATTGTGTTTTTTGTAGTTTTATAGATAATTTAAATAAAATTAAAATTGTAATATATACAGATATGCATTTATCTATACCTACTTAGCTACAAAATCCTCTTATATATTTACTAGACTCTTTATTATCAAAATGTAAAACAAAAATAATTTTGCGTTATTTTGACTCTTTACATTAAATGCAATATATAAAAAAAGTTTCATGTAAATAGATTATTTATTTTTGGTTATATTTATATATGAATATAAAGTTTTTGTAACATTAAACTCTAATCACAGACAAAAAGAAATAAATAATTTAGGATTAGCTAATCTTTGTAAAAATTTTAATAAAATTTGTATTATATATAATAGCTTAATATTTCAAAAACTTGATATTGTTAATGATTTTATTTACTTTTTGCTTAAAAAATTTATATATTTTTATATATTTAAATAATTATGCTTTTTGATAAATTAAAGTATGTAATATTTTTTCATAAATATTTAAATATTAATAATAAAATATTAGTGTTAATTTCTTACATTTATTTTTAGAAAAATTATAAATTTTTATATAAACTCACATTTTTATTACGTTTTCTTTATATTTATAATAGAATGAAATATTTAACTAAAAATTTGCGATTATTTCTGTACAAAACTTTATTCCGCCGAATATATATTTATAGGTATATATATTTTTATAGGTTTTTATTAGAGAGAGAGAGAGAGAGAGAGAGAAAGAGCATTTTTATGAATTATTTATGTATAAATAAGTGAGAACAAATCGACTTCAATGTGCCAAATTAAAATGCTCAAAATATATATGTTCCTTTATAGAGAAGCTAGGATGAAGTAGAAAATTTATTAAATGATATGGTTTTTTAATCTTTTTGGGCGTGATTCCTTAATACTTTTAACATATTTGGAATTATGCAAAAAATTATTGCATAATACTTTTTAAGAAAATAGTTTCATAATTTTCATGACGGAATATGTCATAATCAATGAATTTTATAATTTTTTAAAACACGTAATATCATTGTGATATCATGTTTTAAAAATTTTCTAATAAAGTGTTATTTCCAATGAAAAATGGATTTACATTAATATATATAATATAGATGTATTATACATATCAATGATTTAAAAATTTGTCATTTTAATAATTTTATAATTAAATTTATTTTTATAAAATCAAAACTTATTTAGTTGATAATTTAGCATTATTATCGTGTTATTAATAATGTTATAGATAAGAACCGTCTTCTGCGTTCGGACGCTGTCTTTACCAGTGGATGATGATTTTTATCTCTCGATGATATACCATCTGCTGGCAATAAATCGCATTAATTTATAAGAAGAACGTGATAATTTCTATTCGCTAACTCCATGAGAAATAAAATATGTAGAATATTACAATATTGAGTCGGCAATAATATTTATAGTAACTATCTAGTCTTTGGTCATTCTTTTACTGAAGTAGATCTACTGAAAAAGTGAAATGAGATGCTCGCGAAACGTTGGAAATGAAGCCATGAACGACGCGGCACCGATCCAGAAACAAACCAAGCAAATTAGCATTGTCGATAATTCTGATCAAAATGCAATATGTACTTCGTCGTTATATAATTTTGATATATTGCTCTGGAAACAAAAGAGTTAAAATTCGCTGCATTCCATTGAATACCAAATCAAAAATTATAGCGCTTATGCGACAACATGTAGTGCGTAATTATATGTTAATCATTCATTATAAATACTCTCATGAATTCCTACGCGGAACATGACATCCATCAATATCCACATAATCCATAGCTCTATGCGATATCTATCTCCACAACTGATATTAATAGACTTCTAATAGAGATTCATATTATCTCCATAGTAGACATATTCCAGAAATCCATCATGAATTTCATTAAATTTCTACTATAAACGGTGAATAATGAGCGATAAACTTTCACGTATAATTTGCTTTCGCTAAAACTAAAAACTAAACATAATTATTTAAATTTTTCAATAATTCTGCGGCAATATTTCAAAATTTAAAATATTATATGTCTTCTTTCTATTTACAATTTGTATATAATTATTAATTAATTAATGTAGAAATATATAATTCAATTATTTATTTATTAACGTAAAATTGAAAATGTTCATATATGTGAAAATATATAAAATACAATTATATTGTATTTCGTATATTTAATACAATTATATTAATAAATATATAAATAAAATTGATTGAGACTGATAAATATTGATTTATTGATAAATATATAAATGAAAAACAAACTATATCCCACAATTTATAAATAATTATTTTTGTTCTTAATTATCATTGGTGAATTAATATATATAGGGTATCAAACGATAACATATACTTATTTCATATACTAGTCAATACGTGTCAAACTAAGTGAAAAATTTTTTTATTATTTTACCAATAACCGTTTTAGTAGAGTAGCATTGCGTTAGGCAATCGTCAAACGTTAAACAATAATAAATTAGAAGAAAGTTGTGAGTGGGTAGTGCCGAAAAGCTGGCAATATTTTGAAGGCAATATTAAATACTTTGGCGATACTTCGGTAATATTTAAGTTTATTTAGATTTAATGATTTTCATACTAATATATTTTATTTAAGGACTTTTTTTCATCAATTAGTTTTAGTTAGAGAGTGTATATATATACATACATTAGTATTGTAGAATATTTTTAATTTCGCGTTTACATACTTAAATACATTGCTTGCTTGTGTTTCATACACATTTTGTTAATTTTGTATGAAAAGGAAAAGAAAGTAAAAAAAATTTTATTTTTAAAAGATCGTTGCTAAAGCACGTATTAGTCACGTAGTGACACTATAGGGATCCAATAAATCTAAAAAAAATATGTGCGGAACCCGGGGAATATATATATAGACAGTTTTTCTTGTAATTTTATACTACACTTCATTAAATTGCGTCTAATTTAGAACATGCGGTTCTAATTTACATCCTGCAGCATTAGTTTTAATATTAATATAATAATATTAGTTTTAATAAAATTTATATATATATATATATATATATATATCATGTTGCTGATTTTTAGAGAAAAGAAGAGGGAGAAAAGTAATTATATACGCAAATATGTGCAGTATATATATATATATATATATATATATATATATATATGTATATACAGCACATATTTGCGTATATAATTACTTTTCTCCCCCTTCTTTTCTCTAAAAATCAGCAACATGATCAACGCGACAATTAGCGTAGGG